CCGGTGGGCCGTTACCTCAGCCTGCGACAGCCCGGAGCCGGCACCGCCGCCCCACGTAGGGGCAGCCCGAGCTGCTGGGTGTCGGCCCCCCGTGTTAAATGGTAAAGAGGAGAAGCGGAGAAGGCAAAGCCGTCCTTCCCAGCGGGGCCATCCTCGAGCCTGTGCCCTCCCGCACCTCCCAGACTCCAGCCTGGGTAAGCACCAGTTCAGCACCTCTTGTTACACGCCAGCGTTTAACAAAAGAAACCTCACCCTAAAACAAAACAGAAAAACCCACTCTGGGCCTGGATCGCCCAAATTCTCAGGAAGACCTTGCCCCACGTTGTAAGCGTTACGTCTGTTTGACGTTTCAGGTGATTCTGGGAATACTTGGAGCCTGACAGCCTCGTGCCAGTAAAGGGGGGAAGCAGCAGGATGACAGAAATCATGTGAGATGGTGGCAGGTTCCCCCCAAAAAACCCACCAAACGCTTGCATTCATTAGTTTTTGTAAAACAGTTACTGGATACACTGTTGTTGGCACTTGTTTAAGACTCGCTACATAATTTAGGGCTGAAGCCATGCTAATTGCAACAGCTTAAAAAGTCTGATGGTGCATCATTTCTACCTCAATACACACTAACAGCAGGTTTAGTTTTTCTAAGGAAAAATGTTAGAATGGCATTTTTATAAACAACTTCACAGAGCTACCTTTCACACCACCTACAATTCACCCGAAACTGAGGCACAGATATGATCTCCATCTATTGTTAATTCTCTCTCAATCAAAACACACACACACACACACAAATACGAGATTTATTGTTTGCAATAATTATGCTTACTTTACATATAAAATAGGAGTTCAGGTGTTTTCCATCATCATGTTTTGGTACTAAATATCTTAAATAGTTCAAACAGAATATTTTTTTATTTTAAACTGCATAATGTGGGATGACAAATCTTAAAGGTAAGATATTCTTACCCAAGTAATGATTTATAAAATGCAGTTGTAGCTCATTGCTATAGTGAAAATATCCGTGGGGCATTCATTTATGAATAATAATTTTTTTTTTTCTTAAGGCAGAGTGGATGATTTTAGAGTAAGTATTTTATTAGGTATTGTGACTATCTTGACTTAATCGAGCTGCAAACTCTACTAATGTTCTTGTAGGCCGCCCTGCCATGCCTTTTCGAAGATAGGGCACCTCATCTTTATTCGACATCACACCAGCTATATCTAAATGAGCCCAGTGAGAGGCAGTCACAAATTCCTTCAGGAATGCAGCAGCTGTGCATGCTCCTCCAGCTCTGTGGGAAGCAGAAAAATTGTATTGTTTCTAAAGCAACACCAACAGCACAAACATTAAATGAATACACTGAAAGAAAGGGACACATGAAGGATATCGGTACATCTTACCTGCTGTACTTTCCAATGTTACTCAGATCTGCAAGAGGACAGTCTGTTACTTGTTTTGTGTAATGTTCGAAAAGAGGCATTCTCCAAACTCTGTCTCCTGTCAAAATGCTGGCCTGAAAAAGAAACAGTGATAGTTTTGGCAATTTTTTTTTTTTTTTAACTGCATTTATAAGCCCCAGTATCATGCATGCTTATTTTTGTTTAGTTTTGATCAGTCAAATTCTTCAGCCCAATATAATATTAGGTGTTTGGAAATACACTGCAAAACAAAACAGTGAATCCTACTCTTTAGGTACTTCAGTGTTATAGTCAAAAGCAAAAATCTAAAGACTGCTTTTTTTTTCTTTTTTTTTTTACCCTCACAGCGCAAATCCTTCCCTTCAGAGTCTTCCTTCAGCCATCACGCTTCAGCCACTCACAAGGCCTCTCTGAATTTCTGTCTCAGTGTTATTAAGCAAGATCAATTATCTTTTTAACATGAACTAATTAGCATCAGTAGTCCAGAGCTTATGCATATGCAGTAAGTTATCAGAAGATGCAGATCCTTGAGATGATGTGCATGCTGTTGGCTGTAGGATATTAAACCTCACTAAAGAGCTAGTAATTAATAGTCAAAATTAATTATTTTCAATTAAATACAGTACTAACACCATTCCTACGAGATTTCAAATTGTAGTAACATACCTTTTAGATTTGCATAAGGACTTTAATGCACTAACTTTTCAATAACAACAGCTATTACTGAATTATTATTATGATTTAATAATAATGCAGATAGTCTACCTCATAAAGGTGAGTCCAAAGCCAAGATGAGTTTGTGAACACTCCAGTCGCAGCAGACCCCAATGCAACATCCATGGCACCTACAGAACACACCTTCAAGATTATACAACAAAGGCAAATGCGGACCTGAGCTATTCCTCTGCATCCTGACTCCTCACAGAACTTTACATTTTTAATTCCCATTATCAGTAATTTATAAAGTCCGCAAATCCTAAAGATTTTAGTACACTTGCATTTTTAAAAGTTTAAACTTTGTTAAAACATTTATATAATCTAATGGGACAAGAATTCATAAAAACCATATTCTGTATCTCATGAAACTAGACTCTGTTTTCAGCTTAATGTTTCTCTGCAATATTTCTAATACAATGTATTCAGCAATAACAGTGTCATCGCAAAAAAAAAAATCTGAATTTTATTGTTTCCATATAGAAAATAAGTGAGTGGACTTTTTTCAATTTATAGACCTCTACAATTTTGAGCTGATACCTTCCCTTTTGTGAATTTCACTTGCATAGATTTTTGCACAGCATATGTGAATTTACTTTAAATGAAAATAATCCTTATCAAAATACTAAACCATGCCTAAACCAGAGGGTTTACATACATATTTATTTATTTATTTGGTGCTACAGAACTGCTTCTCTAATGCCAACACTCAATCCTCAGTGAGATTAAAAAAAAAGAAGAAAAAAAAAGTAGTTTAGCAAAATGATATGTCAAAGAAATTTCTATAGGAGCTCTCCTCCTTCCTGCTTGGTGCCCAAGGATCCCAAACACGGAATAATCTATAGTGGGAGTAAATGCCTTCTTCTATCATGCCTTTTATATGGGAATTATTTTATACAAGCCAATGATCTTAAAATTGGCTTCCCTTCTGGCTATTGAAATTTTCCACAGCATTTGAACTGGTAAAACTGATGGAACATAATTTAAAGCACTAGTAGACAATCTATAGAAAGACAATTATTTTGCTTAGCGTACTCATTAAGCAATACAGTGGACTCCTGTCTGAACTACTCTTCCATGTTTGCTCTCATTTCAGTTACAGTCACTTCACCCATGACAGCTTGTTACTGCAGTTCACGAGATGCATACACAATGCTGGTTTTAAATTTAAAATTATAACCTCATTCATACACAACTGTAGAGATGAAACAATTAAAGCACATTTTATTATGCCTGAAATTATGGAAACTGCACATAAAATAAGAGATACTTCAGTCAAACGAATTCCTGGGAAGATTATAATGACTCTCCTATGCTATTATTTAGAATCATGGAGACCTGAGCTAGCTCCCACAGTGAAGAACTGGTGTGGGGTACGTCAGAGCTCAGGCACTCAGGAAGCCGTTCACGAAGAAGTTATTTTGGCTCCAGCATGGCCAGTGCCATATGGACCTGGCAGGATTCTTCCACAACCACGCCAGTATCTGCATCAGACAGCCCCGGGAACTGGAAAGGCTTAGCTCAGAAATGGAAGCACTGGGAAACACTGTGCAGAAACATCAAAGTCTGCATAGGTTTTCCTGCTCTTAGTTCCAGCTCATCTGGGCTGGCCCAAACTTCATCTATATTGCTGAGCACGTACCCTGCATGGCAATACTCTCCCCAGTCCCAGAGACACGGTGCAGCTGTACAAGCTGTTAGCACATAAACTGTGCTAGCTGTTGTCCACCAACACGTAAAATCATCTCGGTTGCTTTCGAATTCAGGTTAGCTTTATATACGTAGTGCAACTAATCCACAGCCCAATTAATGAGAGTAACAAAGAACTGACTTGCAAAATAAGCGGGGAACCTGCTTACCTGTTAATGTTGCAGCATTCACAATAGCCCTTGCGTTAAAATTGTGGGCATAACAGAGAGCATCAGCTAACAGCAGTCTTCCTTCTGCATCTGTGTTATCCACCTTCAGGTGCAAAATTAGTCAGATTAACTACTGAAAACATCCCTTTCACTGACTTATTTCTTACATATTATCTTAAATAGCTGTCAGATTGTAAATGCACTGTCACGGGCCCTAGGAACTTCAGGTAATCAAAATTTACTCAAAATAAACTAAAAAAAAAAAAAGAAAAGATAGTATTGATACACAGTTATGTTTATAAAATAAAAGCATATCTGTAGCTGATGTCCAGTCATCTTTCAGCACTGCAACCTCCTCTGCATGCTGGGCCTCTGTGCTGCTGGCTCTTCAGAAGAGCCTGGAGGCTGGAGGGGTGCCCCAGTGGAGTGCAGGGGGCTGGTTACCATTCCCAGCAAAGCCCCAGGAATCCCAGGGGCTGCTTCTGAGCAAGCACAGAGGTCTGGCCAATGGAAACCGCAAAGGAGGAGAAGGTACCACAAAGAAGCACTGACGCATGCCTAGAAACAGTTCCTTGTTATGCTGCTTTCTCTTTGGATCTTGAAACTTTCCCCTCAAAAAAAAAAAAAAAAGCAGCCCCTTTGCTCCTTTCCCCTTTCAGGAAAAATTCATGATG